GCATTATTTATTTCATGATCTTTATCTATGATCTTATGCCAGATGTATTTTTGTACTTATCTTTAACCTTTTATATATGAACAATCCACAGTCTGAACTGAGATGGCTGGAGGTGTTATTCAACAATTATTGAGGAAGAAACTCCAATCTCGTTCTCTGGTAAGCACTTGTTTCACCCATAATATAAAAACTTTTCAGAGTAATTGTTGTAAGTTTGCAACCAACTTATATACCTAGTAAATGCAAATCTCTGACTTCCAGGTATGTTCGATCTTCTCATCAATCATCATTTAGGGTAACTTTAGACGAATTCATGCTAACTTTAGCTTTTAGATTAGCTCTTCCCTCTTAGGAAGGACTACTACTGAGTTCTTGGCTCCAATTCTGATTAATGAATGCCATCTTTCAATTCATTCATTACTGGCTTATAGTCATTGATTGTGATATTGAAACAAGTATTCTGGACTGTTATTGTAGAACTAGAAATACATGATTGTTCATGCATAGATTTTGACAAATTTATAACAATTTGTGTCCCTCAGAAGTTGCTGATCATGTCTTTTTCTGATCACTGGTGTATAATTGTTGCAGAGTTCTTCTGGCTCTACTGGCAGTAACTCCTTAAGAGCCCTTGCTTTACTAGGAGCTGGTGTCTCAGGTCTTTTGGGTTTTGCAACAACAGCATCAGCCGATGAAGCTGAGCACGGCCTTGCATCTCCACACTATCCATGGCCTCATGAAGGCATCCTCAGTTCATATGATCATGCTTCGTAAGTTTGACCTGAATTGTTCATATATCATTTGCTAATACATTCATATACTCAAAGTAGTCCCTGTTGCATTTAATGTGTGATCATAAGTTTGTTAAAGTCAACTATAGACACTTTTAATTCACTTTAATTTTGTCGTCTTGTCCTAGTTTTACTTTTTCTCAGCCTTGGAAATTTTAGTCTTTCCTCTTGCTCTGAAATTTTGTTTTTTTGAGGTGACATGATGTAACATGGTTTCAATCTTGGTTGTTTATTTGTAATATCTGCGATGTATTGTTTTATTTTATTAAAAAAAAACCTGCATTAAAAGCTAGAATGTGATTTTCTGAAAGAAATAGTTGCATTTATAGATCCTGCGATAGATGCATTCTCTTCTTTTAGACCTTTATTTTTTCCTGAGCCAGTATTTATACTATGGTGATTTTTTTGGTTGCTCTATACCTCCATATATTTAATCTGAATTTCACACAAACATCAAAACTAACTAAGATCTCAACACATTTACCTTTTCTATGAACAGGATTCGTCGTGGTCATCAAGTTTATACACAAGTCTGTGCTTCCTGCCATTCCATGTCTTTGATATCATACCGTGATTTGGTTGGTGTGGCTTACACAGAAGAGGAGGTAAAGGCGATGGCTGCTGAGATTGAGGTGGAGGATGGCCCTAATGATGAGGGTGAGATGTTCACACGTCCCGGTAAACTCAGTGATCGCTTTCCTCAGCCATATGCAAATGAATCAGCTGCTAGGTTTGCTAATGGAGGAGCCTATCCTCCAGATCTAAGTCTTATTACCAAAGTAATGTCAGTTGCCTGCTAGTGACTTCCTTAGGTTTTCTGTTGTATGCATTAAAAATATCTTTGCCCTTTGCGTGCAGGCTCGTCACAATGGTCAGAACTATGTGTTTGCCCTCCTAACCGGTTACCGTGACCCCCCTGCTGGCGTTTCGGTAGATTCTTCTTCAAACCTTCTCTTTAATTTAAATATACTCGTTACAGTAAATTGCATTCTTTAGAATCTGAAGTTGTCAAGTGAAATTTGCTAGACCACCTAATGAGTGGTTTGGAACCAAAAAAATTGAGATATGTTTTGACTTTGAAATATGCATTTTCCTTTTTCCTCGGTGAGGCACTAAACTCCAACACTATATTTCACAACAGTGGTTGATATTCTTTTTCTTTCAATTTTCCTTTTCTTTAATATGCATCCCTGGTGAGTTATGCATAATAGCTTTTTGATACCATACATGATCTTTCAATACAACTTTTTACACAATTTCATGTTAGAACACAAAATACTAATGTCTCTTTAAACTTATGTTACTTGTATATAATGATGAGTGATGAACTTCAATATACTTTCTCAACTTTTTATTTTGTTCCCGTGGGGCAGTACTTTTCATTACCTTTTGTTTATGGTTATTGTTTAAATAACAATGTAGATCAGAGAAGGATTGCATTACAATCCTTATTTTCCTGGTGGAGCCATTGCCATGCCTAAGATGCTTAATGATGGTGCTGTTGAATATGAAGATGGTACCCCTGCTACAGAAGCTCAGGTAATTTTCTTTGTTTAGGATTTCATTCAATAAATCTTAGGATATTGATTATTGTCTATCAACTTAGAAAGAATGAAGCAACATTTTTGTACTTTTTTCTTTTTTTGCTACAGATGGGGAAAGATGTGGTGTCATTTTTGTCTTGGGCTGCAGAACCTGAAATGGAAGAGAGAAAACTGGTTTGTTTTCCTGATTATCTTTCTTCTATCAGATCAAATGAAGTAAAAAATAAATGATTTTCTTACACATTGCTACTACTTGCAGATGGGATTTAAATGGATATTTGTACTTTCATTGGCATTACTTCAAGCTGCATATTATCGCCGTCTTCGATGGTCTGTTCTTAAGTCCCGCAAGTTGGTTCTTGATGTTGTCAACTAGCTTCCTTCACGCCTCATTTAAATTTATGAAAAAGATTACTACTGGCAATAATTTTGCCAATTCTGATAATCTCATATTCGTTGGAGTTACAGAAAAGCATGTTTTGTTTATTGTTTGAAGTAGAAATAAAGCTGGAACCCCCCTTCTCAAACATGTGTATTTACCTTCTTGAGGAACCCTCTTACACTTGTTTAATTTGGAATTTGAGATAATTATTAAGTGACTGAGGTTTATTTTTGGTTATATTCAGTAAAGATAAAAAAAAAAAAAAGGGAAAAGGGAGTGCTGTATTGTTCTAGTTGGAAATTGGAAACAAAGTTCCCTTTTAATTCATTTTTATTCTGTTATGTGATGCACATTACTGATAAGACTATTTTAAAGAATTTTGCTAAAGTTAAGCAGATATTGTTCAGGTGTTTTTACATGAAATTGTTATTGGCTAATCATAAGTTGTTTACCGATTGATCCCATTAACTTTCCATATATACAGATAGGAGATTGAGATGTTGCTAGCCTTCAATACAACTTTATCCTCATAAATTATTGCCGGGAATATCTATAAGTCCTTATCATAACTTATCTGTCTTATTTAAGTATGATGTTCAGAACATATCATAACTTATTTGATCCCGTCCTTAACACGACTTTGCAAATAAGTTAACATTTAGAAAAGAAAAATGATGTTTATTTGTTAATGTTTCTCAAGCTACTATTTTGATGAATCCTGAAATACAAATGAATGGATAAGACACCTCACTCATGCATACATTTGTTAAGAGTCTCACATCGGATTAGATATCCTGAAACATCGGATTAGACATAGCCTGAAAATAATTCTAAGAACATTCAAGTGCGATAAATCATGCCTTAGCGTTACCTTTTCCACTTTATCCTCCAGCTTCTTGATTTTCTGATTCATGTGCTTCAAATCTTCCTGATGCTTAACATCCTGCCTCTCAAACTCCTTGAATTCTTCCTTACACTTCCTCATATCATTGTCTAGCTCCTGTAATGTGAATAATAAAAGAAAAAAAATTGTTACTACTTGATGAGCTTTCACTAAGCATATAATACCCTTCCATGTTATTATCCAAACTGATAAATTCAAGTCCCATGTCATGCAAACCTCTTGTCTTTTCATATAGTTGTTGTGCTTAGTTTCAAGTTCTTTCAAGAATTGTTTACTTTCTTGAATTTTATCCCTGGAATAAGACCACTAAGTTCTTCATGAGTCAAGAATAAAAACAGCTAACAATTAGGAAAGAGACTATAGATGAAATTCAAAATGACCTTTCCGACTTAAGATTTTCTTTTGTAATCTGTAGCTTAGGCTATTAAGTGATGACAGCTGTCACACAGTTTGTAAGACTGATATGGTTGGGTTGAGCCTGAATCAGCTCCATAAATTTAGTTGTAATAAGCAAAGCAACCAAATCCGACAGCAAGAACAACAAACGGTATCTATGCTTTTGTAATGGAGAAAGAGCGCTCACTGTTTAAATGACTCATCAATTTTTTCTACATATTTGTTGGTTCCAATGATATCTTCCAAATATTCTAGAAAGCCTTCATCATGAGGTCCTTGAGATTTTGGTTTCATAAGTGAAATTTGTTCAACTTCTCCCTGATAAGAAAAAATTTAAGCATCAACAAAGATAAATAGGACTGCATCCAAAAAAAAAAGCATCGTAGATGAATGAACGAACCTGAAGGATCAGAAACCTATTATTGTCAATTTCTTGGTAACTTCAGTGAAATTACTTGAATGGTTATTAATGTAATACTCAGAGGAGTTGTCCCGAAAAGCCACCCTTGTAATAACAAAATCACTTCCAGGAACAACCTCATATGTTCCATCTTCCTGCAGCCGTAGATGATTTAGGCCTAGTTTTTAAATATCAAAGATGAAAAACACAAAAGTATCATAAACCCGTAAATCTGAACTCTTAAAATCTCAGGCAGCGTGGTATAAAGATCAACTTAATAACAAGCTCGAGCCAGAAGAAACCAAAAGGGAATACAGAAGAATTAGGAAGATCCTAAAGTCCCACGTTGGTTGGAGATAGAGCATTAAAATAGTTTATATAGATTGACACCCCTCACCTTACCAACTGATTTTGTAAGGGTGTAAGATTGTCTTAGGCCAAACAGTCAAAAGGTGCTGCTCCCCTAGAGCACACAACATACCAATTCAATCAAATGGTGCTGCTCCCCTAGAGCACACAACATACCAATTCAATCAAATGGTGCTACTCCCCTAGAGCACACAACATACCAATTCAATCAACGATGATCCAGAGCACGAAGAAAAAGAGGAGACCAAATATTATAGTTACACAAAAGAAGAGCGAGTTTCGTCGTCCGTGGCTGTCAACGACCGATGTAATGAATCTTAAAAATGAGATTAAAAGAATAAAGGAAGAGAATGAGTTTCATAAGGAAGAGAATGAGTTTCATAAGGAGCAGTTGAAACAGAAAGATACTGTTTGTGATGAAGTAATGAAGTTGAGGGTAGAAATAGAAAAACTAAGGGAAGAGAATGAGGTACAGAAGGTACAATTGAAGCAAAAAGATGAAGAGAAAATAGAGGTGATTAAACAACTGAGTTTGGCAGTAGATTTGTTGAAGCAAGATAATGTGAGCATGAGAAGCTTCATTGCTAAAGAGTCTACTAAGAAATGGAAATTTCCATTTGAGTTCAGCAAGTTTGGTGGAACATTTTCTGTGAAATTGTTTAATGGGACTCCAAGGAATCAGCCTAGTGTTGAGCTCTCAACAAGACGCGGTTAACATAGTCACCAAGTAGCTTAGTCATGTATTACATTCTTATAGATACTATACAATAAGTTCCTAGTCTAGGTTGTGCTTTAAGTTTAAAGGTTGTACTATTTTTTTCAAATGTGCTCTTTACTTTGTCAGTTATATGTATCCCAATTGTTTCAATTTTTTAATTATTTGTGCATGTGATTGATTGTATTGTAGCCCCCACCTTAAATGTTTTCACCTTGTTTATGCATGTGTTACATCATTGTGATGGGGCAATTACCCTACGTTTATTTATTGACAATTTAGAAAATCTTGAACATAATGCCAACATTAGGACAAGACATATTCTTGAAAGTTACGAGGACGGTTGAAATTTAACCACAATCTAAATTTTTTTCAATTTTGATCTTAAGATTGTTATGTAATGGCAATGAACAAAAACAAAAACATATTTAAAAAAGATGAGTATGAACTGCAGAGTAATTCTCTGTCCATAACTGTAGAATTTTATTATTATTTTGCAACTGTAAAACTGTGATTATCAAGTTTGATTATTAAAATGATAAGAGTTTCTCCATATTTATAGATTTAGGTTAACTTGCATCTCAAGATAAAACTCAAACTATAAAAGCATAAAAATTTCTACAAGATTAATCTTTTTAAATCAAATCAAATCTTTCTAAAAGAATGAATTACATATTTAACAACTTGAGTCAGTGTATTCCACTAGCATAAACACATACTCAACTGTAGATTTTCTATCCTCAACATCACTACACCAACTTGAGTCAGTGTATTCCACTAGCTTGCATTCTTTTCTTTTATCGGCTATAGGAAACAAAATGCCGTAGTCGAGATTTCCTTTCAGATACCTCAATATCCTCTGCGTCGTTGCTAGGTGTGATACCTTTGACTTCTGCATAAATCTACTTACCATACTCACATTGTATGCTAAGTCAGGCCTTATATGACAAAGATATCTAAGTGACCCAATAAGTCTTTTATATTGGGTTGGATCGACATCATATTCATCTGAATCCTTCAAAAGTTGCAATCTGGTCTCAGTTGAAGTCAAAGTTCGGTGTAATCTTGCATCTCAAATCTCTTGAGTATTTCGCCTGCGTATCTTCTTTGGTGCATCATCAAACCTCTACCAGTCTTGTAGAATTCGATGCCAAGGAAATATGAGAGGTTTCCCAAGTTTGACATTTCAAACTCCTCACTTAGGTCATGTTTGAAATCTTCGATCTCCTTTTTGCAACTTTCTGTTATCAACAGGTCATCGACATAGAGACATAGTATAAGCAATTCACTATTTCTTCTCCTTACATATACTCCATGCTTAGTTGTGCACTTCAAAAAAAATTCTTAGAAAGTTGTCGATCTTCTTATTCCAAGCTCTTGGAGCTTGCTTAAGTCCATACAGAACTTTATGCAATATGTACACCTTTCTTTCTTCGCCTTGTTTCATAAACCCAACTGGTTGTACAACATAAACTTCTTCGTATAAAGAGTCATTTAGGAATGCATATTTTACATCCATCTGACATGTGTGACAATTATTAATGTTTGCTGTGATTGTTTTGATCCTATCAACAGGTGTAAAAACTTCGTCGAAGTCGATTCCTTCCTTCTGAAGAAATCCTTTTGCCACAAGTCTTGCCTTGTGTCGAGTTACCTCTCATTTAGGATTCACCTTCACCTTGTAAACTCACTTCACATCAATTTCCTTCTTGCCTTGAGGCAATTTGACAAGTGACCAGGTGTTGTTGACTTCGATGGAGTCTAACTCTTCATTCATTTCTTTCACCTACTTTGAATCTTTCAATGCCTCAGCTACATTAACTAGTTCGAGATCTGTGTAGAAATCATAATGTACCAGCTCACCCTTTTCACCGATCACATCATATGATGTAATTACACATTCTTGCAACCTTGCAGGAATGTGTCTTGTTCATCGAGGTCTGCTTGGGCCTGCTTCATCTTTGACTTGTTCTTGTCGAACTTCTCTTTCGACTTTAGTGGCCAGTTCTTCATAAGAGATTCTTACTGAATCCTTCTTGACATTCTCAGTCTAATCTCATTCTTTAAGCTCATTTGTGGTCATGTCCCTACTGATCACTACTTGCTTATTCACTGGGTCGAACAACCTGTAACCTCTAGTAGAATGATATCATATCAAAATTATCTGATTTGACTTGTCATCAAGCTCCTTCCCAACTTATCTGGCACATGCCTTTATGTTATAGGTCTAAACACCTTCAAGTGGCTGAGGCTAGGCTTGACACCAGACTAACATTCTTCTGGTGTGATTCCTTTAAGCTTATTCGTTGGACATCTGTTTAATATGTATGTTGCGGTCAAAACTGCTTCTCCCCATAATTATTTGGGTAAATGCTTTCCATTCAACATACTTCTAACAATGTTCATGATGGTTCTATTCTTTCTTTCTGCAGTTCCATTCTATTACGGAGTGTAGGGTGGCACCACTTCATGCACAATCCCTTCTTTCTTACATAATGCATCGAACTCTTTTGACACATACTCTTCACCACCATCAGTCCTCAGAATTTTTAGCTTTCGACCACTCTGTCTTTTAACCATAGATTTGAGTCTGGAAAATACCTCGATCACATCACTTATCTTCTTGATGAGGTAAGTCCACAACTTTCGATTGTAGTCATCTATGAACATGACAAAGTATATGTTGCCTGCAATCGAATCCACCTGGGTTGGACCATATACATTAGAGTATATAACTTCCAGAATTGCCTTCGACTTCCTTCTTGCATCCTTGCTAAAACTATTCTTGTGTTGTTTCGATTGAACACATTCTTCACAGACTTCACTTGAAATGTCAATTTTGTGAAGACACGACTTCTTAAGCAATATTGATGACGACACACTCTACAACATACAAGGATGGATAAAAGAATCTCAAAGAAATCAAGCTTGAAGAACTTCAATGTCAAATCAATATGTCAAGACTTGTTAAAGAATGAAGACAAAGTTCTACACAAATAAAGGTACAACATTCAGCTTCTATATAGCTTTTACAAGTGTTCAACTTCATCTCTCATTCTTTCATATCATTTTAAAATCTTTTTAAAACTCTTACAATGCATTTTACCTCTGTTTCAAAGTGTTTTTTTAGCAAAACCTGTTCTGAGTAACCGGTTACCTATTCTTTGTATTCGATTACCTTGTGTAAACTTTCAAAAAAATTCAAATGTTAAGGCTGGTAACCGATTATCCATATATGGTAACCAGTTGCTAATGGCAATACGAGCCAGAAAATTGCATCTGTTGGCAGCATTCTGTTTTCTCAATTCTTTTTGAACCATGGCAACTCTTGATCATTTGCACTCTTTTAAAAAGGTTTTTAGAGGAATTTTTATACCTCATAATCTCAGAATTTGAGAGTAACCTTATTGCAAAAATTCAAATTTCATTTCATCTCTCAAATTCCAAATTTTCACAAGTGTCAAAAATTCTAAAATTTCAAGAGCGAAACTACTGCACCTCAAATTTCATTATTTCATCATGGTTTCATTCCTCTATTTCTTGAACAGTTGCATTTGATATATAAGAGTTTATATCTCAAGAAGAAGATCAGTCGCAAGATTGATAATCGAATACTGCTGCAAGCTACTCAAATAAGAATTATTTGTTCTTTGAGTACAACTTATTTTTCCAGGATTGTTGGAAATAAGTTTGTAAGGTTGTAACCTTGCTGTCCAGGATTGTTGGAAGCAAGAGATCCATTTTGAGAGAATTGTTCTCATTGGACTTAGTGATACAAATCTAAGAGGATTCTTCTTGGTGTTTTGATTGGTTAGAGTTTGTATAAGAAAGACTAGGTAGAAGTATAGCCTTAGGATCTAACAATATTGAAAAATCTCTTTCTTGTTGAAAGGGGACTGAAGTACTCTCGGGCTGTAAGGGGAACCAGGATAATTTTTCGTGTCTCTTTACTTTCCGTTTTTACTGCATTCAACACTTAGTAACTTTTAGAAAAGTAAAACAAGAAATCTACATAAAGACTGGAAATTTTTTTTGAGTACCTAATTCACCCCCCTCTTAGGTGCATCTCTACTTACAGATTTCAGGTAATCCTGAAACTATATTTATTCTCTTCAAATCTCTAATGTCTTTGAAGTTGAGATGGTCAAGTCAATAATACCATAACTATTCATCTCTGCTGGCTGCAGTTGCAAGACACTTATGCTCTATCACATTAAGTTTAATCTTGAAAGTCCTATTCTGATACATTGGAGCCTTCAAGATTGACCTACCTCCTGAGTCGAGAACTATCATCATCTTGTCTTCAATTGACACCTTGTAGTTCTTTTCGACCAACTTTCATATGCTGAGCAAATTACTCTTCATGCCTGGTATGTACAACATATTGGAAATTGTTGACTTCTTGCCATCTTTCCCCATAATCAAAACATCACCAAGACCTTCAGCTGCTAGAGTATTTTTCATTTGGAAATTTCACCATATTCTTCATTGAGGGATTCATGTCGACAAACCAATCTTTCCTTCCAGTCATGCGTGATGAGCATTCTGAGTCCAAGTACCACTGGTCCTGGAATCTCTCTTCGTCTCTTGTTGTGACCATCAACAACATCTCTTCTTCTTCATGTTTCTCCAGCTTCGCATCAGTTTCTTGATTCTTCTTCTTTTCTAGATAATCACTAAAATAGTGACCATACTTCATACACTTGAATGTGACTTTTGTCAGGCTTTCGACCACCACCTCTTCCTCTACCTGCAACACCACCTTTTTGGTTTCCTTGGTTCCAGAGTTTTATCTGATTCGACTAGTTTCCTTCATGGTGATTTCGACCATTCGAGTTGTCATAGCCTCTTCTACCTTTTTTGCTATTACAACTTCCTTTGCCTTTCTTTTCTTTTTCTGAATGAGCCTGCAAAGCCATATCACTCTTTGAATTTCCTGTAGCTCTTTGAGCTATCCTTTGTTCATGAGACTCAAGCGTACCTTGAAGCTCTTCTTTTGT